AAGGCTGGAAGTGAGTACCACAATCTCAACAGAAGGGAAAACAGTGACAACCTTTGGTTACAGGCACACATTCAGCAAGACTATCTGTCATTCTCTATATGATCAACTATTTTAATTCAATAAAAGATTATTTGAGGGCAAATGCTAATGGATTTGGGGACAGATTAACAACACGTGGAACATTTTAACTGTGCCTATTCCTGAGGTCATTAAAGTGCAGAGGACCTCTGCTGCTCGTGCTCGAAAATATGGCCGGTGAGCAGGAGCTCCCTAGGGTCTCTTCAGGGACTAAAATCTTCTAAGATCACAATGTCACCTTACTCCGAGCGTGAAGCCATGTTCGTCCTTCCCATCGGCTCAGTGGGGGGTGACTGGAGGAGAAGGCAGTCTGGGGCCGCTGCTCAGACACACCCAGCTCCTCCACCCACCAACTACAGCAAAGCTACTCAACCTTTCTGTGTTGAGTAGTATCCTCAACTCAAAACAGGAGCGACACCACCAACCCCGCCGGGCTGTTGGCAGGATTCATCAGTCAAATTCGGGCCAGGCCTGGCGCTTGCACGCACCCAGTAACCAGCGGTGACTAGTACCATTTACTGTCTGAGTTAGTTCACCCAATAGCTGATGTCAGCTCAAAGTACCATCAAAGTCAATCAGTAGGATAACAACTGGGGGAATCCTTTTTGGAACTTAGGAACTTTTCACTACAAGCAGCTCTCAATTATCTGTGGGCTGATCATCATTATTGGTTAGTTGTAATGAAATTCTGGAGAGTCACCTTAAATGACACCAACTGGTCTTCACTTAGAGTTTTCTACGAGAGGGCAGAAAAGAAGGCCTTTTTAAGCCAAAACTGTCTTGGAGAAGCTATGAAATTATTGTTTTTAAGCAGAGGTAACCAATACTATGATGATGCAGTCCCTTCCCAGTACTGGAAGGAGACACAGCAGGAAGGCCCAAGAGGATTGAGGAGGCTGGTGCAGAACTATGAAGGGGTGGAGCTAGAATTCAGAGCCCCATCAGTCTGATGGCCAAAGCCCATGATCTTACTGGGCCAGCACTGGGCCGATTTGCCTGCAGGCTGTCACATCGTCACTTTTTGGATGGAACTTTACCATGCCTTCTCAGATCATACTCAAGAGCCTAAAAATGTGTTTCCAAATCTGACAGATGGATTTTGGCTTCTGTCTTATATCAGTTTATGTGTAGGACTGCCCAATGCCACTAGCAAATAATGAGACATTTTTTTTTTTTCCACAGCACTCCTCCTTCCAAAAAACACTTAAAATACTGAGAGTAAAGTTTAATTAAAGTAGTCCTGTAACATTCATCGAAACTTCAAAAACCCACGGTTACTAAATTAAGTCATGTAGTACATACATTGACAAACAGAAATGGAGATTGTAACTGCTCTGAAATGTACTAACCATTAGCTTCATCACTGCTAAAGCTACTATGATCATGTTTGTGACCACTCAGTATAACTGCTGTGAACACATTTTCCATAAACAATTAGTTTGGTTCTCTTTTAAAGAGGTGAAAGATCAGACCCCTCACCTTGACTATTGCATACTATTGCACATAAAGGGGAAAAAAAACTGTGCATAAATCACTATATTCTGGATGATTATCACTTCTGGAAAGACGATCTTTCCTCCTGATGATGACCAGGTGATAAGCAAGGTGCCTTGCACACATTATTTCAATTAACCCATTTTTTATTTAATGCAGGAAAGTATAGTGGTTAAGAACATCAATTATAAGGATCTCACAGCCTGGGCTGAAATCATGGCTCCTGCTTAAATACTTATGAGGTGTGTGATCATGGGCAACTTTATGAATCTCTCTAGGCCTCAGTTTCTCATCTTGAAGTGTTATCAATGATGGTCTCTACCTTACAGAGTTGTGGTAAGAAATTAAACTTACAGGTAGTGTTTACATGGTGTTGAGCCTACAGTAATTACTCAATAAATATTAACTACTGCCTGTTTTGCTGCTTTTCAACAAGTGAGTTACCATGTCACTACTTTAAATAAAGACGAAGTACCTAGGGAGTAAAGAAACTAAAAAACACACTTGGGATCTTAACTCAGACATGCTGGATTCCAAGCCCAAGGCTCCTTCAACTTACCACGCAGATCTCAGTCTAATGAACGGTATCTTCATTGGTTCTTGTATTGAAAACTGTGGGTGTGGTTGGTGAAAGGTTTATAGGGAGGTAAGGTCTACATGGGGAGATGTTTTTATCAAAAGAATGCCCTCGTTCGCTGATGTGGGTCAATGTGTGTGAGGCTGGCTCCTGGGGGACGGTCAGGGTGAGGAGGAGGGACCCTGTGGCCCTCATTCCTGTGAGAAGGCATCTTCTCGGGGAGGCTAAGATGTGCCTTATTTTGGTCTGTGGATGTGTAAGGGAATTCTTAAAGCCTATGTAACCCACTTTCAGGTACACCTTCATCTACTCGTGTGGCCTGCTGCTTGGGGAGGATTAAGAGGAGCTGGGAAAGGAGAAGTCAAGGTTTGCGTTAACAACTCCGTTTCCCTGCCCTGTCAGTGGTCTCGGCCTGGGCTGCACGAGCTTTTATCCTTTCCTATCTGCACGAAGCGCTAAACTTTAAAAGGTGCCAGGGAAGAAGGAATGATTTTTCAGCACGGTAGGCAAAGCTGACTCCGCCTGTCGTATGTGAGTTAGTCAGTCGGGTCCAATGTTTCTACATTTTACGGGTGGATTCATAGTGAAATAGTATCACTTGCGTCCACCGTCAGCATCATCTCCGTTTCCTGGGCACTCACTTATGTGCCAGATACAGTACTGGGCACATCTCCGATGTAATCTCCCTTAAGCCTCAAAAGCAACTTGCTCACTGTCTTACAGCTAAAAGAAGTCAGGATTTGAACTCAGGTTTAACTCGGGAGACGATTCTGTTTATTATTTTTAAAGGCCTTAGAAGACAGCCAACCGTTGCACGTTTTAATCTTTTGTCCTTTCCCTGAGCCGTAGCCCACCGAAAGCGTTACAAGGGCTTGCGGCCTTCTGTTAGGTGCAATCTAGCAGCTCGTAACGGAGGTTTCACCTCAGGGAGTCGGAGGGACCTTTCTTTCCCGAAGCCAGCTAGAAGCCAGGGAAAGGTCAGGACTGCTGTGACACATCTAATCTGATGGGCTCTACTCAAATTCATGGCAGCCGCTGAAACAACCCCACTGGCTTTGCCGAGTTAAGGCGGGAATGAAGGGGACGGCACCCCGCGTGGCCTCCTGAGGGCCTGCTCCAGGCAACGGGGCCCGAGCAGTAGACGTTTTGAAACCGTGACGAGAATCTCTGTGTCAATGACCTGGCTTTCACTGGCTGTGTGCCCTTGATCTTGGACAGATCACTCACTCAGACCCAGTTTCTCATCCACAGAGGGGGACGACAGTATGCGTGCTGGGCCTCAGTCACAGGTGTGTTAGGAGGAGAAAACATGGTAGGCGGGAGTGCCAGGAGCTGCGTATGAGCCCTGCGATGATAAGACGGTTTTTAAAATGGACACAAGAGTTGGCTTTCTGTGTCTTGTTAGCTTGCTGATGTTCAGTTATTAATATCAGAATTTCCATCCTATTTCTTTATATTTTAGAGTAGCCACGGGGGACAGAAAAAGAACAAAGTTAGGCAGAAAAAATGTGAGAGTTGCCATTACTGCCTGTCAGCTAATCTAATTTTTCTAGGTAAGTTTGAACTTTTAAAAACATTGCAAAAATACCGGTAATAGATCTGCCGGATATGAAATATATCTTATCTTACAATATGGAAAACATGACCGGGGATAATTTCCTGGCCAGCCTCCAAGAGGGCTGCTTCTGGAAGGAGGGGGAAGGATCTCCTGGAATCGGCGTGGATCCCACCAGGAAGACGGAGACACTTTTTAAAGAAAGTTGAGGGGCGTCTGGGGGGCTCAGTCAGCTGAGCGTCCGACTTCGGCTCAGGTCATGATCTCATGGTTTGTGGGTTCGAGCCCTGCGTCGGGCTCTGTGCTGACAGCACCCTCAGAGCCTGGAGACTGTTTCAGATTCTGTATCTCCCTCTCTCTCTGACCTCCCCTGCTCACGCTCACTCTCTCTCAGAAATAAATAAAAAAACATTAAAAAATTTTAAAGAAAGTTCAAAAGAAATCTTCCAACCAACCAGGCAAACCACGGTCATGCAAGAAGCATGAGCTGAGGAGCAAGGCCGTAAAGAGCAGAGGTCACATGCTGTGCCCAAAGGCTCGGGGTCCCAGTTTCTACAAAAAACTGCGGGATATAGATGGGTTTCTCTGGCCGTACTCTAGGGAAGTCTGATTTACTTACATCATAAAATATCTGGAATTATTTTCTGCCCACCAACCAGGCTGCCCGATCGGCCCAGATACTCAGAAACATGTCCTAATCTTATTAAAGCAGAAAACAGAAGGATAAGAGGTGCTGCAGAAAGCAGCACATGGTCATAACCTTAAACACAAGGAAACATGGCTCACCTACAGGAAACAGGAGTCCTTAAGGAGAGAGCTCATGGGCCTGGCCATCTTTGTAAAATAGAGCCATGGTTGTGCATGCTCCTAGAAAAATGGATGCTGTCTTTTTTGAGGGGAGCGGTGGGTGGAGGCTGGGGTATTGAATATTCGGGCACAAGATAGTGTGCAGTACACCTGATAATTAGAAAAGTACTATGTATAGTTTAACATTACAGATTTTTTTTTTTAATTGCCAGGGATTCGTTAGCATGTTTAATTAAGAGAGTTTATAGTCTGCGATTAGATTCCTCTTAGGCTATGAATTTGTTAACATTTTTTAGCACGGAGGGGGCTTGATTACAAGTTTGTGGGTGTTAGAATTAAAATTCAGTTCTACAACCACATTACCCATCTCTTCCTGGCTAACTTACGGGCGACTTGCATCCGAAACGCAGACCTAACTGCCGGTGTTGTGCACCTGCGAGTTTCCACCAGACGGTGGGCAGACAGGGCCAGAAATGGGAAAGTGCTTACTTTTTCATGCTTGTGTTTCTCCTTCTCTTTCTCTCTCTTCTCTCTCTCCCTCTTCTCTCTCTCCCTTTCCTTCTCTTTCTTCTCCTTTTCCTTCTCTTTCTCTTTCTTCTTCTTCTTTTCCTTTTTGTCCTTTTTCCTTTCTTTCTCCTTCGGTTTCTCTTTCTCCTCAAACAGTTTCTCGGGCAGCATGGAGGACAAGGCGGGCAGCCCGGCCGGGACCCTGGCAGCCGCCGCGGGGCTGAACAAGGGCAGGGCTGCGTCCCTGGGGGGCACCCCTAGGGGGGCCGCGGGTGCTCGAAGCTTCTCTTCCCGCCCTTTGTCTTTAACCTTTTCTCGGTCTCTCTTATCTTTATCCCTCCTGCCTTTGTCTCTGTCTTTCTTCTTATCCTTATGCTTGTCTCTGTCCTTCCGCACCATCCCGTCTTTCAACCTCACTTTCGCATCGACGTCCTCAAATTCTTTTATTTTAAACTTATAGGGGTCCGGCTCTTCATCTTTAAGGAATTCCTTCCACGGGTACCTGGCTTCCTTGGTGCTCTCCTTCTCCTTCTCCTTCGCTTTATCCTTCTCCTTACTTTTCTCCTTGCTTTTGTCTCTTTCCCTCTCCTTATCTCTCTGCTTCTCTTTCTTTTTCATTTTGGTCTTCAGTTCCTTTTTCAATTTCTTCTTGACCTCCACGGACGAAGGCAGCTTGGCCTTCTCCTCGTACACCTTGTGCAGAGGTTCCGGGGTGGGAGGGGAGACCGAAGGAGAGGAGATGTAGGGGAAGCCGGGAGGCACGTTTGTGGGCGCCCCCATCTTTGCCTTCCGCACAACCTCATCGATGGACGCGTCCATGGTCCATGAATTGTCGGAACTTGAAGCCCCTCCCAACAGAGGCAGAGGGGTGGACCCTGACTTAGGGAGATTGTTGGAGGAGGTGGAGGCTTTTGGAGTCGTACATTCTGTGCCCGAGATCCTCTTAGGGCTGGTGAAAATGTCTCCTTCGGATTCGGATCCCGAAGAAAACTCGAAAGGGTCTGGCTCTAGTTCTGCGCAAGCCCGTGCAATCACGGCATTGATGGAGTCATCGATCGTTCTGTCCGTCACGACCGCCTTCTTCGGCTGATTCTCACTGTTGAGTTTGCCGGCATCCGGGGGCGTCTGTATTTGTTTTACCTGAAGTGTGTCTTTACTAAGTTTTTCACTTACGGTAGCGGAAGGAGTCCTGTTTGGTGTTTCAGGTCTGACAGGTACCTGGGGAACATGGGTCATCACCTTGGGGCTCTTGGGGCTTTTGGGGCTCTTAGAGCGTCCGGGAGACTTCTTCTCTTTGGATACAGTTTTTGGTGAACGAATAGGACTTCCGACCATTGCTGGTGACTGAGAAGTTTTAGGTGATTTAGTCTTCTGTCCCGGAGAACTAGTTTTAGTCTTGGCTTTAGGTGTAAATGATTTTGCTTCTAATGGTTTTGTGTTTGGCATTTGTGATTTTGGGACTGGAGCCAACATCGGTGGCTCTGGTGACGGAGGTGCTAGGTCTGTACTGTCCTGTACGTGGACTGGAGAAAGCATTGGTGGGATCTTCTGGGTATTTATCGAGCTGAGGGGCTCTCGAGCTTCCAGTAATACTACATCTAGGGTGTCCCCTTTCGTGCTTAGGAGCCGTGGTCGCTTGACGGCTGGCATTTCCTCGGCTTCAGGACTGTCCAACGGTCTCTTACCCAGGAAATTCTCATCATTAATAATCTCCTCCTCCTCCAATTCATCATCTTCTTCCAAGGGAACCTGCATGGCTTCTGCTGACGTGCCGCCGTCGGTGGGCACCTGTTCTTCTTCTTCTTCTGGAGAGGGAAAAGAAAAGAGGTGTTACTGGAGCGTTTTAGAAATCCTAACAAATGAGAACAATGCTTCAGACATGATTTCTAGGAAAGAAAGAAATTTGTGGACAGTGTGTAGAGAATCAAGTGGTAAATCTTTAAGGATCTCCCAAACTTGCACGCCATCCTTCTTGGAAGAGTGGCGATTGGGGACAGCAGATATACAGACACTTGGTCTCCTGCTTCCTGAATTCTCTCCCTAACCTGACTGAATACTGTCTTTCTTTTCCTTCCCCCTCTTGTGTATGTGCGCCCACCACCTCCCCACACACATACATTATCTCTAAAGATCAAGGGATGGATTATTATAAGACTCCTATCCTAAGAAATGACCAAAAAAATACATATTTTGAGGACAAAATATTAATAACAAATGTTAATTCTGGGAGTTTAGAAAACGCAAGCCTCCAACCTGGATATGATTCATATGCTACTGAGGTCTTCTATTCTGCTTGCTGACGTCAGCACTTTGAGAGCCGGTATGGTGCAAATGGCATACACAGTGGCTTTGACATTAGAAAGATGGTGTTTCCGCTAGCATTCTGGCACTACAGACAATAGGCCTGAGGCAATCTCTTAACCCCTTCAGCCTATTTCCTGACCTTTCAAAAGGGGCTAATGTTACTTGACCTGCCTACTTGACCGAGTTGCTTTAGGATCACATTATTTCTTTCTACACGTATTAGCTAAGCATATTACGGTTCAGCGGGGGGACACAATATATGTGTAGAGCACAGAGAAAGCGATCAGCACCGTAAGACAGAAGAAGAGCTCCAGCAGTTCAAACAGAAACAGATTACGGCGATGTTAAAGATCTAAGGAAGACTTTATAATCAGGCAGTGCTCTGGGTATTTCGAGCCCAGGAATGGTAAGTACAGGATGGAGGAACAGATGACAAAGAGGCGGCGATGGAACACAGGAAGTGTGTAAAAACCAGGGAATAATTTGTCTGGCGAGCAGGGTGCGAGATAGGGACGAGCACAAAGTGAGCTCCCTAAGGCTGCATCCAGATCCTTGAAGCTTTTGAGTTCCAGAAAAACTAAACGATCTTTAGTCTATGGGTAGTTTGGATCTAGGGAAGATTTTTAGACAAGGAAGACAAATCACAGGGTATATGTGAACAAATTATTCCAGAAGGACCACAGGTGACGGATGGGACGTAATGTAATAATGGAGAGGTGATGAGTTCGAAGTTACCGAAATGCTGTAGGTAAGTGACAACAGGGTCGGAACAGTATAGGAGTAACAAAAGGAAGCAATGGAGGTAGATGACGTTCTGAAGACAGAATGAACGGACTCTAACAAATGATTGGGTCTAAGAGTGGAGGAAGGAGTCAAATACCATTTCAAGGCTCTGAGCCCCGGTGAGTGAGCAATGCAGTCATTAACAGAAATAAAGAAATAGAGAAGATGATTATTAATTAGCTCAATCCCTAGACACAGAGTTGGGTGAACAGTTGATGTCTAGCACAAGACAAATCTGAGACATAATTACTGTTAGCATTACTTAAGAATGACACTATCATCTGTCCAGGTAACTAAGTCAGAAGCATCATTCCAGACTTCTTTCCTTTTTCTCCATTTTCACACTGTGGACACAATTTCCTACTGCATTTCCTTTAATGTGCTCTCCCTGCAGCTACTATCCTTAGCTCCTTAGTTCAAATCCCTGGTGCCTCTTCTCTGTACTTCTCACTAGTCTCTATGCCTCCAGCTCAAGTCCCATCTTTCACATTGCCTCACACAGATCTTCTGAGACCATGCTAGTGGGGGAGGGCCGGAAGGAGAGGGAGACACAGAATACGAAGCAGGCTCCAGGCTCTGAGCTGTCCCCATGGAGCCTGATGCAGGGCTCGAACCCACAGATGGCAAGATCATGACCTGAGCTGAAGTCAGACACTTAATTAAGCCACCCAGGTGCCTTCTTGCATTTCTTTTAAAAGATTTTTTAAAAAAGTAATCTCTATATCTGACATGGGGTTCAAACTCACAACCCTGAGATCACAAGTTGCCCACTCCACTGACTGAGCTGGGGCAGGCGCCCTGGGAGAAGTCACATCTTAAGAGCCTTCCATTGGTTTCTACTTTGTAAAAGGATGCCCTTGGAGCCCGAGAGTTCTACGGACCCTCTTTTGAAGCACTGCACAGTGGATACGGGGTACCCTATTCTCTATTAAATGGAACCGTCACCTGTATGGGTCTCTATCTTACATGCTAAGCAGCCACAAAAGCTTTTGTTGTGAGGCTACAGCAAGGAGAAAACCAGTATTCTAAAGGGTAAAATCAATCCCATTGCCCCAGCACCACCTCTATGGCGTGCCGCCACCTGACTCCTTCCTGAGCACTTGGCCAGGCCAGCGCGTGGACTGATCAGCGGTGGCTCGAGGACATGCTGCTGTGTCTCACTTCCGCGCCTCTGTACATACAGCTCCCCTCGCCAGGCACCATCTCTTCTTAGCCACCGATCAAATGTTCCCTCTTCCGTGACGCTTTTTCTTAGCAACGAGAAGTGGCCATCTCCCACCTCACCCCCCACTTTGGGCTCTATTCTATTCATTCTGGTTCTACAAGCAACAAAGAAAGGCTAGAAGATTTACTATCTGGCCCTTTGCAGGGAAGTTTCCAGACTCCTGTCCTAGATCTACACTATTCGGGAGGTTTGAACAGCCCTATCTTTATCAAAATGACAAGAAAGACTTCAAATCCGCTCAACTGCTAACAGGCAAATGTATGAAAAAATTAGAAAGAGAACCACTTTGGGGTAGTCTCTGAGTGAATGAATAAAAAATTTTTACAGTACTTATTACTGTTGTATTTCTAGCTTCCAAAGAACCTACTCCTACCTGACCAGGGTTCATAAATCCCCACGTTGCCAGAGCAGAAAGAGGAAGGTGAGCCTGGGCAGCACAACGGGCCTGTAGAATACGCTGAAGTAGTCCTTGTTCTCCTAACTCTGGAGCTCAATCTGGCTCTGGATGGCTCTGGGAGAGTCAGTCCCCCAGAGAAGGCCTTGGGAGGAACGCGCTGGGAGGGCAGAGGGATTACTCTAATGAAGGTAGTCCCCAGAACGGGACTATTTATCTATTTATTTATTTGCTAGAATAAGTAATTAGAGTTCAATTTTCAAACTGCTAGATAATAATGCTGGCCAATAACAGAGATATACATTGTCAACTTAACCCTGCAATCCTTTTTGAGAAGATTAAAACAAACAAACAAACAAACAAACAAACAAACAAACTCAAGTCATTTCACTATAATCTCTGGAAAACCATAGAAGAGCCCACGTCCAGAGTTCACATCTATACAGGTCAAGTGTGTATCACCTCTGCCATCTGCCCTAATAACTATCCTGTAATGAAAGCAGCCCAGAGCTGCTGGGGACACTTTTTAAGGATAACAGATATTTTAGTAAGGGAAGCGAGCTCTGGAGAAGTATTCATGTTCATGCTGCTAAAGGTATGATAAGGAATGATTTACAAAACTGGTATTTTCAATTCTGCTTGTGTTAAAATTTGGCTAATGTCAACAGTGATAAGACTTTTGATTATCCTTTGTGTGAATATTTATTCAAAATGATGATATCTGTTATAACTGACCATTAGTACTGTCATTCTCCAAAGAATACCATAAATTATGATATAACTCCTATACTTCTAGGAGTAAAAAAAAAAAAGATACTGACAATAAGAAAAAAAGACATATGAAGAACTATACTTAAACCAGTAATGGGAACCTTTATTTTCAAAAAAATGTCAAGTTTCTGGTAAAGGTTCATGTCCACTATTGACAACCTTATTCTTCACATAAATTCACTAAAATGTAAAGGCTATAATTCAATCTAAGGGAAACCGCACCATATTAAAAAGTAACTTCTCATTCTGTCAAATGCTTTGCATACGTGGTATGCTTTCCATTTGTCAAAAAGGGGAAATGATGGGAAATAATGTGAATGACTCAGCACAAATTTATCACCATAGTCAGAAACACAATTCAAAAGAGATACGTAACTGGTAGCAGACTGTCTAAGAAGGTACGGAAAAAAGAGGGAGGGGGAGATCTCTAAGAGATCGGAGTCTTCTCATTTAAACAATCAATGACTCCACGTCAACATTTGATTGTAAATTTATTTTTTAACTTTTTAAAAAAATCTTATTTTGGAGAGAGAGTGAGTGAGTGAGAGAGAGAGAGAGACAGACAGAATCCTAAGCAGGCTCCATGCTCAGTGCAGAGTCTGATGCAGGGCTCGATCTCATGAACCATGAGATCATGACCTGAGCCAAATCCAAAAGTTGGAAGCTCATCTGAATGAGCCACCTAGGCACTCCTCTAAGTTTTTAATTTGAAATAATTTCAAACCTACAGAAAAGTTCTAAGAACATTAAAAAGAACTCACAAATACCCTTCACTCAGTTTCACCAAATTAATGTTTTCCTTCAGTGTGTGCCTGATGGCAGAAAAACTGTCAAGTTCTCTTGTCCTGATGTATCTGAGAGAAGACGGTTCCGTGTTAATGTCCATCCTTCTAAAATGTCACGGCTGTAGATGCGAGTGAGGGAGATACCACAAATTCCACTCCAATGTCCCTCCATCAATGACACAAATAAAGCATCCACACTTCCTACATTTCCCAGGGGAGTAATGGAAAAACATGCTTGTTTACCAAACCTCTCGAACAAAACCTAAAACAAGGCTTAAACAAGGCCTGAACACACCAAAAGGGGTTTTAATGGGTTAATCCTAAACTACTCTAAATATTGACTTGAACTAAAATATCTTTCTAACTAGAATAATAAATGTCTTTAAAGAAACACTGTAATCTAAAAAGCTCGTGGAAATTAGGGGGGGAAAGGAACTTGTTCTCATACAGCACTGAAAGGTTTTTATCTCCTTAACTACACAGACACATGCAGCTTTGACAGTTAGTGGCATGGCCTCAAAATAGGCAGGAGCTGTACTTGCA